AAGATTCTCAACTCTGGCAACAGGCCGCAACTAGATGAGCCAAAACTTTTCCCATACTCCCACGGACTCAACAGGAGGGTTCTCCCACACCATTCCCGGCACATTGGTCTTCAGGGAGGAGAACTTCTCAGGGCACAAATCGTCCCACAACCTGAATGCCTCACCCAGTCTGTCGTAGAAACGGTTGTGGGCTCTCTCAGTCTCTCTTTGTAACTCAAGCTCACACGGTGCTACAATGACAGTCCATTCCTGGGTTCGAAACTGGGTCGGCTTGTCTTCCCCAACTTTTGTTCCGGCAACAGTCCTTCCCCCATCTTCTCCTCCTTCTATGGCCTCTATCATCATGGATGGTGCACTCTCACACACCTCTCCTTCTCACTCACACTCACACTCACACAGAGAGGGAGAGAGGAATAAATAGAGGGAAAGGGGAAAATACTGTACATAAGCATCCAGAGATTACCCAACCTGCCCAAATGCACACCTCAAAAAATAACTAATTTTTCAACTAAAATTTGACCTGACTAAAGAAAGCCCTGGCTGCAGGGAAAATGTTCATAAAGCCTCTGAAAAAGGAACTCTTCCATAGACCTTTCAGCAGTGCTAGTGGCTGCCAGCCCTGCCAATCCAGGAATCTCAAGGTCCCTCCCAGGGTTGCCAAGAGCTTCTGATTGGCAGTAGCAGGCTGTAGATGGCACAGGAACCCCCAAAGGGGGGGGGGAGGAAGTATACAAATCAACAAATCAAAAATAGGTAGAACTTCATCACTTTGTATTCATCGGGGTTTCCACATTGAATGAATACAAAGCGACCAATATGCAATGAATCAGAGATGTTTGACAAGTATCATGATTCATTTTTTGATCCGTTCCCATCTCTAATGTGTGTGTGTGTGTGTGTACATATGTGTGGGTGTGGGTGGGTGTTTATGCACAATGTATGTCTATATAGAAAGACTGATATTTCTGTCTATGTGAATGCACACATGCATATACATTATCTAGACTGGGAAAAAAAAGGCTGAAATAAATACATTTTACATTTCATAAACAATTATATGTTCTTTGTTTTTTTTCCCCTAGAACAGTGCTTCCCAATCTCAGGTCTCCATATGTTATAAATACATTTTACATTTCATAAACAATTCTATGCTCTTCGTTTTTTCCCCCTAGAACAGTGCTTCCCAGTCTCGGGTCTCCATATGTTTTACAACTCCCCCAAATCCTGGCTAACACAGCTAGTGTTATAGGCTTCTGGGAGTTGCAGTCCAAGAACATCTGGGGACCCAAGGTTGGGAACCATTGCCCTAGAAGGTTGGGTTTTCTATATTGGACAGCTTTAAAATAGATCCAGCCACCAGCCCATTCCTGAAGCTCCTCCAGAGGCAAAGCAGAACACACGGGAGAGGTAGCTTGAGTGATATTGGACCAGAGGCAGAAAATCCATCTGGCACCTCTCTTACTGATATAAATGTGAACTATATTAATTAAGAGTTGTTGCTTTCTTTTAATAGCACTCTACAGTATAAAATTAAAGCAGAATACTCAGTTTGCCTAGAGCATTATATAGAGTATCGCAAACAAGGAAGATATAAAGATCATAGTAATGATTCAATGTAATAACTTGCAACATTTTAGGGGAAATCCATAGCAAAAAGTCAAACCTATTGTTTCAAGGAATATTACTATGGGGTCTAACATTACTACACCACCACACATATACATTGGTAATTATACAGAAAGAGATGTTCAGAGCTGTAAATCACTATTAACAACTAATTTCTACACATTTTCATGGGTATGGGCTTATTAGCTACTTTCGCTATAGTGGTACAAACCCACAACTTGACTATTACAGCAAATTTATGTGACTGAAATGCAACTGGTAGACAGGCAAGCACAGCAGTGTTAGCTCAGGGTATGTTCAGATGGGGATTTACCCTGAAGTTTGGTCCACTCTTGAGATGGGCTGGTTTGCTCTCTTTCCCGTCAACTGCATGATGATGTATGGGCAACTACAAACCAGGCTCCCTATTGAGGGCTACTGTTTTTCTGGTACAGGTAGGATCATTCCATTTTAGTTCAGTTCCTGCATGTGTGATTTTTAGGTGTTTTTTTTGTCCAACACACACACACACACACACACACACACACACACACACACACACACACACACACACACACACTGTTTTGTCCAACACACACACACACACACACACACATGGTTTCACTGAAAGAATTTAAGTATAACTTTCCATGCCATCAACATTAAGAAATTAACAATTAACATTAATTCTCAATTCGTTAACAATTCTGAATAGCAAGCAAACAAAACTCTAATAATCAAATTTAACATTATACTGACAAAAACAGCATAATCTTATTCCAGAACTCAATTTAATTCAAAACTCCTTGTAAACCAATATATATGTAATACTGTCCTCTTCTGCATTAATATAGAGCCACGGAAAATTACCCTAATGTATGTTTTTCACACTAGTGATAGCCTCTAGCCAATGATGGAAGAAACAGCACTCTTGAGGAATCTCTCTGTCTGTAGCCTTTACGGTCTTCTTTCATTCTCCAAATCAGAAGTTCTATACAAACAGCTGCATCTTGACCAACAACTAGGAAGAACAACTATCATGTAGACATGTAGATTATTTAAAATACTGGAGAAAGTAGATGTTTGATATTTAATATTTAAAAGTAACTGCTGTAGTAATAACCCTAAACACTATCTGCATTTGTTTCCAGAGTTCTATTTTTAAAAAAGCATTTTCAACACCGTCTTGATGATGGCTAACTATGGAAAGATTGCTGCATATTTCCTGATCCTCTGGGCCTCATTAAATAAGTAATTGATTCTGTATGTTGAAGCTGTGCACCCATAAAAGGAAAAGATTCAGACATGAGCTTAATTCTCAATCTGCATTTTAGCACCCTAGTGTGCTGTCATTTAGTAGTGGGTCAAATGGGAGCTAGGAGGGCAGGAACACTGAAAGACTAACATTGTCTTAAGACAGTGTTTCCAACCTGAGGGTTGTGACCCCCCCAAGGAGGTCGCAAAGCATGGGGGGGGGAGAGTGTCACGGGTCGCCTTCCTTTGTTAAATAATTTCTTCCTTGACCTTTTAGACCAGGGGTCAGGGAACATTTTTACCTTTTACCCCCTTAAAAAATTATATACACAGACATTACCCCCTTGATTTGAAAGGAAGGATCTCAGTCACATGCGGCCAGTTGAGCACCGCCGCCAAAGTCCTTGGTCCTGTGGGGACGGCTCACCTTCTCTGCCGGCGGGAGGCTCCTGGGTGGCCGTCGAAGAGCAGCAGGTGACTTGCCCGTCGGGGCCACCCAATGGCACCTCCCACTCTGGCACTGGCTCCGGCGGCTGCTTGCCAGGGCAGCCGCATCGGGCCTTGGCGTCAGGGCTCCCGCGGGCCTTGCCGTCGAAGTGCCGTGACAGCTGCCGCATGGAGGGCAAGAGGCTCCGCCAGGTCCAGCCAGCCAGTGCAGAGGCGCCACTGAAGGAAACCGCACAAGCACCGCCACTGCCCGATGGGCTCCTCCGGGAACGTGGATGGGGC